TATATATATATAGATAGATAGATATAAGCCTCCCTGTCACTTTTGATCATATTCAAGAATCCTTGCTGAATAAAATTATTAATTTCTTAATTTGTTTATGAATGTTTTCACTTGCATTCCTTTCTCTGTCATTTGTGTTTTCTGTAGGCTGTATGTTGTGATGATAAAATCCACTGTTGTCCAGAGGACAGTGTCTGTGATGTTGAAGGCTCCAAATGCATGTCCACCAATCAGGAGCTGCCTATGTGGGCCAAGTTCCCTGCTCGTCTTAGAGCTGAATGGGAAGATCACACACGTAGGCTATTGTCCGAGAGAGTTATTAATTTTCTGATAACCTCCACTGATATAATTCAGCATTTTCATTTCTTTGTCCTTATTCTTCAAAAGCTGCAGAAATGAGGGCTGAAGCTGAACTCACTACAACCAGACAAATCACTACTGCTGGCATACAAATGGCTACATTGGCTGGTGCACTCCCAGAGAGTATGTGCAAATTTGTACATGGCAATACATACACGTTTTTTATGTGCACATAAATAATAACACTTCTCAAATGGTTTCTGTTATTGCCTTCTTTATATTCAGCCTCTGATGTTCCCTGCAATGACACTGCAGCCTGTCCAGATGGAACCACATGCTGTAAGACTAAAGAAGGAGGATGGGCCTGCTGTCCTCTGCCACAGGTAAGTCAACCACTGACAATAACCAATCCTGATGCAGAGTTGTGTTTTGAGTTAAGTTAAAGGTGTATGTTCATTTTCTCTGTAGGCCGTGTGTTGTGATGACTTCATCCACTGCTGTCCTCATGGTACGACATGTAACGTTGCTGCCGGGTCATGTGACGAGTCTTCAGGCTCTGAGCCCTGGTTCGAGAAGCTGCCCGTTAAACCAATCAGCAGTCAGAATGTGGCTGTTACACAAGGTAGTTCAAAGCACTGAATCCAGTGCACACAGACACAGAATAATACCATTTAGTTGTTCTTAAACTGGTTTGTTCTTTTCTAGTGTTTTCAGTGCATTCAAATGTTTCCTGTGATGACACCGCATCCTGTCCAGATGGAAACACATGCTGTAAGACTCAAGAAGGAGGATGGGCCTGCTGTCCTCTACCAGAGGTAAGTCACCTCACCTGATCTATTACTTTCGCAGAATCAATGCATTGCACCCCATGGACAATTAGCTCAGCCATTACATCTCTCCAAGAACGTCTCTCTACAGTTTGCACTGGGGATGCTTGGGAATCCACAGAATAATTTTTTATTTTATTTTTGGTGTTTTTGCCTTTTATTATGATAGAACAGTATGTAGACAGGAAGCAAAGTGGGAGAGAGAGGGGGATGGGATCAGAAAAGGTCCAAGAGCCGGGACACCTGAAGCACAACAGTGCTATATGCACCACAAGATCCACAGAAAATATAAGAAAAAAACATATGTAGGTTGTAAAAGTAAAAATATATTTTTTTTTCATTTATTTGTTTTAAAGGTTATACATCTAACGCAAATATATATTTTAGATAATATTTAAATAATTTGACCATATACATGTCTGTTCAAAAGTTTGTAATTTTTTTTGACAGATTTACCTTATGCTCACCAGTGCTACATTTATGTATAAAAAAAACACAATTTGAGATATTTTAAAATATTATTACAATTTAAAATAACTTATTTCTATTTTCATATATTTTAAAATGTAAATTCTTCCTATGATGGCAAAGCTGAATTTTCAGCATCATTACTCCAGCCCTCGGTGTCACATAATCCTTTAGAAATCATACTAATATGCTGATTTGGTGCACAAGAAACTTTCTTATTATTATCAATGTTGAAAACAGCTGTGCTGCTTAATATTTTTGTGGAAATGTGATACTTGTTTTCAGAATTCTTTGATGAATATAAAGTTGAAAAGAGCCGCATTTATTTGAAACAAATCTTTTGTGACATTATGAATGTGTTTACTGTGACTTTTAAACTTTTGATTGAACGTTTGATTGAATTTAATGCATCTTTGATCAATAAAAGTATTAATTTCCTAAAATATCTTATTGACCCCAAACTTGCAAATGATAGTGTAAATTTAATATATTGAAAATAAGCATTTTTGTTTCATAATATTATGCTTAAGAGTTTTTAATCCCCAAACAGTTTAAATAGTTCTTTATATATTTTTATATTTTAGGATGGTGGTCCCTCACAGGGGGACATCACGGTGGGGTGGGTGGAGGGGGGTTTATAAAGTACCATGGTAATGCTTAGAAAAATACCATGATAGATATGGTAATCATCCAGCACCATGAAACTGTACTGTTTTTTTGTAAGTATTAAAATTTTGTGCACAAGGTTAAAGGAGCATCTTCATTTTGTTCTGTAGGCCATGTGTTGTGAAGACTTCACCCACTGCTGTCCTCATGGTAAGACATGTAACGTTGCTCTTGGGACCTGTGAGGACCATTCATATTCTGGTGTGCCCTGGATGGAACAGGTGCCTGTGCAGCCAATCATCGGTCAGAATATTAGTGACACACAAAGTAAGTCAACAAACCCTCCAAAGCACTAAAACCAAACACACAAGTACACATTTAACATAAAACTCTGTGTACTTTCTGTACATTCAGTCTCCGATGTTCCCTGCAATGACACTGCGGCCTGTCCAGATGGAACCACATGCTGTAAGACTAAAGAAGGAGGATGGGCCTGCTGTCCTATGCCACAGGTAAGTCAACCACTGACAATAACCAATCCTGATGCAGAATTGTGTTTTGAGTTAAGTTACAGGTGTATGTTCATTTTCTCTGTAGGCCGTGTGTTGTGATGACTTCATCCACTGCTGTCCTCGTGGTACGACATGTAACGTTGCTGCCGGGTCATGTGACAAGTCTTCAGGCTCTGAGCCCTGGTTCGAGAAGCTGCCCGTCAAACCAATCAGCAGTCAGAATGTGGCTGTTACACGGGGTAGTTCAAAGCACTGAATCCAGTGCACACAGACACAGAATACTACCATTTTATTTGTTCTTAAACTGGTTTGTTCTTTTCTAGTGTTTTCAGTGAATTCAAATGTTTCCTGTGATGACACCGCAGCCTGTCGAGATGGAAACACATGCTGTAAGACTCAAGAAGGAGGATGGGCCTGCTGTCCTCTACCAGAGGTAAATCACCTGATTGATTAAAGGAATAATTCTGTTAAACTTTCTTTCTTCTGTGGAACACAAAAGAAGATATTTTGATAAGATAACTCCATTTTCTCTGTAGGCCGTGTGTTGTGATGACTTTATCCACTGCTGTTCTCATGGTACGGCATGTAACGTTGCTGCCGGGTCATGTGACGAGTCTTCGGGCTCTAAGCCTTGGCTGGAGAAGGTGCCTGCTCTCCCTAGAGCAGGTCAAAGGTCACCTGGGAACGTGAACTGCGACTCTAGACACGTTTGTCCTGACTCCAACACTTGCTGTGAGAACACCGATGGAGACTGGAGCTGCTGTCCTTTGCCTGAGGTACAGTATATCTCAGAGGAGAAATACTTCTATCTAATCTTGCATGAGTAACCAAATGAGACTGCGCTTACAACTTTGAATTTGATTACTCTTGGTGATATCCCTCAGTCCCTCTTTCACAATGATGTTCTTCAAGTGCTCAGCAAACTGTGTAAGACCTATTTTCAGAGATTTACCCTATGGCTCGAAAATTTGGGGTCGGTAGGATTTTTTATTGCCTTTAAAAGAAGTCTCTTTTACTCACTAAGGATGCCTTTATTTGATTAAAAATAAGAAAAACAGTACTATTGTTATATATTAATATTAATATTAATACAATTTTAAATATTTGCTTATTTTATTTTGATATACTTTAAAATGTAATTTATTCCTGTGATGGCAAAGCTGAATTTTCCAGTCGTTAGCGTCACATGATCCTTCAGAAATCGTTTTAATATGCTGATTTGGCACATAAGAAACATTTGTTATAATTATCAATGTTGAAAACATTTGTGCTACTTGATACTTTTCTGGAAACCATGATACATTTTTTAAAGGATCCTTTGATGAATAGAAAGTCCAAAAAAACAGCATTTATTTGAAACAGAAAATGTTAGTAACAGTATACATTTATTTACTGCTACTTTTGGTCAATTTAATGCATCCTTGCTGAATAGAATTTATTTAATTTCTTTAAAAAAAAAAATTTGACCCCAAACTTTTAAACAGTAGTGTATGTAATTAAGTTTATTTTTTCCTTAAACACTTTTTTTAAACATAAACCTCATTATTTTATATTAGATTTATTAAAAACTCAATAAATAAAAAAGAAGCTTTAAGATTATATATATA